AGAGTTATTACGTAACACATGTAGAAATTAGAACTTTGAAAGTAAAGCAACTAAACCTTTGGAATGAAAGCTAAAAAAGCATGCAATATGCTGTTTTGTCAGCAGGCTTAGTAAAAAGAGCATAGCCCAATCGGTTTCCTTTGACGAATATCAGTAAATTCAGATATTCAATCTCAGTCCTACTGTATCTGTGTGACAGCTGTATCGTGCTAGGAAGTTGGTTCAATTTTTCAAGCATCAATATCGGTAATTCTTCCCAACCAGTTCATACCATAAAAATGTCGTTGATGAAGCGAAAATATTGCAAGATCTGACCCTGCTAAGGTGACAAAATGTGCTTTTGCTTATACACATATTTTCTATTTAAAAAAATTCTAATTCAAAATATTGACAGTTTTGGACATCACCAGAGATTTGCTTTATGATGAGTGAATATGGGGAGTATTCATTCATAGCATCTCACACGTGACACGTCACATTATTTCACTTCACAAACCACTGCTACTTTACATGTATTTCACCTATTTAAATGATGATTTGGGACTGGGAGTACACACCTGCCTTAAAAAAAGTCCTGGTTGGACCGAAACATTGACATAACCGAGGTGTATCTTTGTGACACAATAAAGGGATTCTACAAAGACCTGTGAGGGCACTTCTCTCTTATAATATTTATATATATTTGTTTATTATAGAACAATAATAATTATTTTTTAAATTATGTTTTAGTTTAAAACGAAATCACTGTTGCTTCTGTGAAGAGTGGGTGAGGAATGCAGATAGGAGATTGCTAGCACTCACTGTAGGTAAGATCATTATTTACTACAAAACTCCTGTAAAGAATTCTCAGCATTCCATGAAAGACTTCATGAAAAGATGATAATATAACAGCTACCCGAAATGAGGGCCTTTTGGTATATTGCTTTAGGGCTTTTTCAAGATCTAAGCTTTATAGAACAAAGTTTTGATTCAGATAACTTTTTTGGGCTACATAACATGATGCTATTGGGAAACTAGAGAGTTCATCTGAAAGCTGTGTTTGTTGGCACAGAAAGCAACCTGGAAAACAACTTGGATAGAAACATTATTCAGGGAAAAAGTTTATTTGATTATATCAGTCATAAAGTTTTAATTTTCTTTTAAGTCCTCTGCAACGGCCAACCTAGAGCTGCAAAAAGGGTATAAAAAACAGCCAGCCTAGAGCTACAAAAAGTGAATTAAAAAACGGCCAGCCTAGAGCTGTAAAAAGTACAAATAAAGGAAAAATAAACCCCTTTTATAACTTTTACTCAATATATACATGCAATGACTATATCTGATGTATTACAATTAATACCTAGGGTTGACTTAATAGAGTTCCTACAACTGAACTGCCTTTCATCCCCTGTCTGATGTCACTCCTTCACTCTCTTTCAAACTGACTCTGAGCGCATGCACATGGCCTAAACCTGAGTGGAAGGGGAATAAAATAAAAAAATAAATAAAGCATATATTGGAATGCAGAGAAGGAGCACACCAAGGGAGGAATGGGAGATCAAGGCTTCCCATTTCATCTGTTGCCAGCATGTAGTCTGTGCTGGCGACAGGTATTTTACATGCACATTTTAACATTAAGCAGCCTGGAACAGAGTTCTGGGATTGATTAAAGTCACAAGCCCCAGCACAAAAGTGCCCTTTTCTCTACATGAGAGATGCTAGAAAATGCTGCACATACAGATTTGTATCACCATGATCACTTCTACACATAGTATATCCTATGATGGTTTGGATGTATTTCTTAAGGCCTTGCTATAGACAGTAGAGAAAGTGTGCTCACTTAAATTAGCACTCTGGCCAACACAGTAAAGTAAATTTGATAGATAGTGGCTTCATATCCATGAGAGGACAGTGATTAACTGTGGACAGTAGTCACTTCAGCAACCTAGTGAACACTGATCTCTCATTGGCTGAGCTGAGTACATTCTTAGAGTATATGTAAGAATGAAATTGCTTTGTGAAAAGAGGAGGCATGGATAAGAGGGCAAAGTGTCATGGTACTTACCCAATCGAAGTGCCGCTGCGTCATTCCTGCGCACACCTCTCGATCAGGAAGCTCCGCCTTCCACTTTACTTTTGTCTGCCCAATTCGCACTTGCATTTGAACTTCCCGAATCCGTTGAATGCACCGATCAGGAGGCAAATGCTTTTGGGTATTCTAGTAAAGAGAGGACGCTGCATCAAATCAGTGTCCACCTCAGAATATATATTAAGTTTTCAGCCCCATAGCTTTTGCCCTGTCGTAGTTTCCTTTTGGTTCCTTGTATAATACGTTATATATTCCCAGATTTTCTGGTTACTGATTTTGGCTTGTTTATTGACTCTTTTGATCTCTCTAATGCTGACTTGGCTAGTTAAATCTTATTTTTGCAATTCTAGTATCCTGATCTTGGATAGTTTCATATTTACACTGTCTCTCTTTTATACGTTAAACCCGGCCATTCTAATGTCCGGTAATACATCCTATCTGTTTTCATATTCCTGACCTATTCTTGTAAATTAGGTAGTGTAGTCGTGACACAAAGTTACACTGTAGAAGTACATGGAGTGACATTTTAAGCATTCCACTGAATTCAGTGGGAGAAAGTACCCTCTCATTAATAGACTGCCAGAACGGATGTTTGCTTAAAAACACACACACATTTTACAGAGAACCATTCTTTATGTAAAACAAAATAATGTCAAATGGTTCTAAAATACATACAAATTACAACAATCTCATTAAAGATCATATACTTACCACTGGAGTATGTTCTGTTGCAAAAAAATCTTATCCTGTAAGTCATGCAGCTGAGGTTTGTTATCTGCCAGTTCATTCTCGACACGACATTTAGTTTCATTGGAATACAATGGACAAAAGATCACAAGTTTTCTAAATAATCCATGTAATTCTTCTTCAAATTTTACTAAAAATATGAAGTTTTAATAGTTTTAATTTGTTAATTAAGAAATATGTTTAGTGCCTATCGATGTAAATGATATTCCAAGAACCTAGACAAATCATTGCTGATTTCTATCCCTTATGGGTTTTCCAGAGCATGCTCTACATTCTAATTCAATTCTACTATATTTAACATGCTAGTTTATGTGCACATGGCCTTGATGAAGTGGGCAGAGGAGGTTCTGATGTCCTGTTGTCTTTGAAGCTTGTTGATTGTACAACTTGAAGCATCACATTGCTAGACAATGAGTCCTTCAACTGGCAGATCAAGGTGAAAATAATCAGAACAAGCAAGAACAATAAGAGGAAGAAGAGACCCAGATAGAGCAGAAGATTACTATCCCATTCCATAGTTATCCTACAATTCATGTTGATACACTGACATCGCAGTGGGTCAGTCTTGCTGGAGGAAAACAAAAGTCTTTAAATGAACATGTTCATCGTTTCTTTCTTACAAGAATCTAAAACTATCTCAGTCAAATCGTCCCCTCCTGCTCCTTTCACACTTCACTGTGGTCCCGCAAAGTCACATGCAATGAAGTAGCATCTTCTTTCACAATCTTAAGTGCTGAATAAATGTTTTTATTATTTATTTACTAGCTTCTTTTTTTTATATTTCATTAGGAACTGAGTTGGCACACACAGCGTAATACCCACAGGCAGAATCCTGCAAGGACACATTAGATATAATGATGAGACATCTGTCTACTGAAGTCACTCGCAGTTCTACAAACACTGTGCATCTTGGTCACAAAATGTGCCCCCTACTACGAGAAAAAAAAAAAAATGAAAAGACAAAATAATAAATAAAGATTGTCAAAAAAAATGTGCCCCCTAATATCACTCAATAATTTATAGTCACCATTGATCATTAAGTGGACATCTCTATTCAGGGGCTGCAATACCGAGATAAGGTGCTGTTCTATGCAATGAGTTTATATGCTTGCTTTCATGATTTCTGAGGACTGTCATGGAGTTCTTTTACGGTGTTTGCTGATTTCAGCACAAATTATTTGTAAGCACCACCGAAGTTCACTGTAGTCCTATTTGCCATTTGCTGAGCAGTGAAAAATATAACCTTCTTTTAATTACTAGCCAAGAGAGATTATGAAAATACCACTTTGCAAGATTAAAAAAATAAACAATAATACAAAAAAATGCACAGGAATTATGTATGAATAACATATTTTTAACTGAACATTGAGATTTGTTTCCTTTTCAAGCATGTCCTGAATAAACCATGTGAAACAGAAATCAAAACCCCCAAATATATATTATGGAACAGGAATACGCATAACTTTATTATACTAGTTTAGACCATAATATGATTTAGAAAAGCAACTATTCTTTATTTTCCTAAATGGTTTTGTAATCTACTAAATTTGATGGTATCATTTAGAAAGAAGAAAAAGTTTATGTTTATAAAATTATTATATGTATGTTTTTTGTAGGCTAACATTTAGAAAGTATGTGTAGATCGAACAGGATGAGTTCTACCTGTAACCTGAACTTCAGGAGGGGCGGGTGGATGTGCCACCATTAGTCATTCTATGCATTCTGACAAGAGATGCCCAATATGCACAGAACTAACATTAGCTATACAGGAAGTTTCATTCCAGAGTGGTTAATGACGCTGCTGTAGTTGGAGTTACAGCTTCGGCAGCAAGGTGTTTTAACTCTATATGTGTAGCATTTCTTACTGAAATACCGGACAAACAGACTCCAACAATGACAAATTCAAATCACTGAACTAATAATGGTTCTTGGATTAACCCTTTAATAAAATTGATAATACAATGTTTGGAAAATATAAAAAAAATTATTGCTTTATTGAATAAAACTCTGCAAATGACCTTTTTTATGTGATGTTTCATTTTCTTTAAAATCTACTGTATGGTGTGGGCGTGGCCGACCAAGAGACTGAACAGACGTGCTCCAATTCACTCCAACGATTTTATATAAATTCCACCGGCCTACTCATCCGGAGATGATTTTCCACTAATTCACCCCCCCCAGAGACAACATGGAGCGCAAGCACCGTGGGTTTCAAGTGCCAGAATCCCCTAAACAAAGAGATATAAGGCTCCCGTGCGAGCAGCCTATGCCGCAAGGGCCGCCTAAAATGGCGCCCGCAGTAAGCCGCACAGAAACTGCATTGGAGGAATCCCTAGAGGAAGAGGAATCACTCACCTCTCCAAGACAAGGAGACTTACACCGGGAAGCAGAATCTGATGATGACTCATCTCCTGCAACCAAGCAGATGCTCCTGGAAATGCGCCAAATCTGGAAGTCGGGAGAGATAAGACAAGATATGGGGGCACTGCAGAACAAACTCCAAGAGGTAGAGGAGAGAGGCACTGCCCGGGACACTCGGCTGCAAGCAACTGAAACTAACCTGGACGGCGTAACAAAGCAGGTACAGAGGCTACACCACTCTGGAGTCCAGACACAGGTGCCACAACATACGCCTGAGGGGGATACCTGAAGAGGTAAAAGGGGACACGCTACTCCCATACACCCAGCAGCTGATCACTACCATAGGTCTGAAGGGAGAAGCGATGATACTTACAGCGTTCAGGGCAGTGGTGTATCCTGGTTTTGTACTACCCTAGGCAGGACAAAACTCAGGCGCCCCCCAACCCCCCTGTGCGCTTGACACCCAGCCATCCCTTCCACCGCCTTCTAAATACACACACACTCACTGACAGATACGCATACACTAGCTAACAGAAACACAAACTCACTGACACACACAGACACACACTCACTCACTAGCAGATACACTCTAGCAGACACACACACACTCACTGACACACACACTCACAGGCAAACATACACACACAGTCAGACACACACACACAAACACACTCACTCACTAGCAGACTTACACTAACAGTCAGACACACACACTAACAGACACACACACTCACTAACAGACACACTCACTAATAGACACACTCAATAACAGACACACTCACTCACTAACAGACACACACACACTCACTAACAGACACACACACTCACAGACACACACACTAATAGAAACACTCACTAACAGACACACACACTAACAGACACACACACTCACATTAACACATGTATTTTTTTAACCCCTCCAGCCTCCTTACCTTTGGGAGTGCTGGGGAGGGAAGGGGTTCTCTATCTCCCTGGTGGTCCAGTGGCTGCTGGGTGGGCGGCATTGGCGGGCGGGCGGCTGGCGAGGGAGCTCTTCCTGTGAGCTGACTGCTCAGCTCCCTCGCGCGCTGCAGAGTGAGGCTGGGAGCCAGGTTGATGACGTCATATCCTGGCTCCCAGCCTCACTCTGCGGCGCGCGAGGGAGCTGAGCAGTCAGCTCACAGGAAGAGCTCCCTCGCCAGCCGCCCGCCCGCCAATGCCGCCCACCCAGCAGCCACTGGACCACCAGGGAGATAGAGAACCCCTTCCCTCCCCAGCACTCCCAAAGGTAAGGAGGCTGGAGGGGTTAAAAAAATACATGTGTTAATGTGAGTGTGTGTGTCTGTTAGTGTGTGTGTCTGTTAGTGAGTGTGTCTGTTCGTGTGTGAGTGTGTCAGTGAGTGTGTGTGTGTCTGTTAGTGAGTGTGTGTGTGTCTGTTAGTGTGTGTGAGTGTGTCTGTTAGTGAGTGTGTGAGTGTGTCTGTTAGTGAGTGTTTCTATTAGTGTGTGTGTCTGTGAGTGTGTGTGTCTGTTAGTGAGTGTGTGTGTGTCTGTTAGTGAGTGAGTGTGTCTGTTATTGAGTGTGTCTATTAGTGAGTGTGTCTGTTAGTGAGTGTGTGTGTCTGTTAGTGTGTGTGTCTGACTGTTAGTGTGAGTGTGTTTCTGCTAGTGTGTGTCTGCTAGTGAGTGAGTGTGTTTGTGTGTGTGTGTCTGACTGTGTGTGTATGTTTGCCTGTGAGTGTGTGTGTCAGTGAGTGTGTGTGTGTCTGCTAGAGTGTATCTGCTAGTGAGTGAGTGTGTGTCTGTGTGTGTCAGTGAGTTTGCCGCCCAGCGCCCAGCATGTCTGTTAGCCACGAAAAATGCCGCCCAAGGCAAATGCCCTGTTTGCCTCGCGGCTAAAACGCCCCTGGTTCAGGGTCAGAAAGGCGATGTCAGCGCCAGAGGCAGCCCCACGAGACACTATAATTGTCACCAGAGACACAGCCGCACGTTCGGCCATCATGGCACGCTCCAGAGTGATGGGATGCGCGAAGTTTGAAGGTGCCTTTATTTTGTTCTTCCGTGACATGCCCTTTGCTGCACTGCTTGAAAAAAGAAAACTGGCCCCAGTGGCCAAGGAATTGAGAGACCACTCAGTGCGGTACCGCTGGAGAGCTGACAGAGCCCTGATGGTGTCCCACAGCGACCAAATCATCACACTTACCTCTGACGAGGACCCAGAGAAACTACAATGCTGCATGGAACAGAGAGATGCACCAGCAAGTGCGGGCATGAGCAATTGCAACGGGGGAGAGCAGGGAGCAGCCTAGGAAAGCAAATCGAGGACCCACCTCAGGATCAACAGCCTGGGAGCCTGTAGACTTTGACTATCAGTATATCAAGTAGAGCAGGGTACACCTGAGCCATTACCATAGACCCACTCCCTGGGACTGCCCTACCCTCCGAACCTTTGCCAACATCCCTGATCCTGAATCCACACAACTGTCCAAAAGGTACCACCACTGTCATGCAGCGAGGCCAACATCCCTACTATGCCTTAGATTGAGGAGCCACCTGAAATCTGACACACAACACAATACCAGCAGCAATCAGCATGACTTCCTATAGTACACACAGAGTAGCTAACCTGAAATGTTCCATGTGTTATGTCATGTTTCCTTTCTCAACACCAATACACTGATGTGAATGTTTGCCTATGTTCATAAAATTCAATAAAATACAAATTATATTTATATAAAATCTACTGTATGGTTTAGGAAATTACATGAAAACCAGTTTCAGACATGGCTTAACTAGAGCAAACACTGCATGATAAGAGAGGAAACAGAAACATTTATTTGAAGCAGGTTATGAGGAGGTCTATATACTGACAGGTGAAAGGTTGTTTATTTTTTATTTTTTTGTAAATGGCAAAAAAGGACAACACTTATAACTATAATTGACATGGAATCAAGACAGAAGCATTCAGTTTGGAGATAGAGTTAAGTAGAGCAGTGTGGATTTTCACATTTAATTATTTCAGACCTCATAAACACATACATGTTACACATACAGTGTAGGAGATATGTAAGCATGATATTAAAATTTGGTAGGAAGTCGCATTTCTATATTAAAATGTTAAAACCATTAACAAAGGAATAATGAAATAATAAAACAAAGTCAAAATGAAGAGGAGAAACAAATCAGAAAGTGGGAAGGGAAAGAGTAGACTTGCCAGTTGGTTGAGATTATGAAAATTCCAGTTTCGGAGGCCCACTTGTTGTGGAGACATACAGATCTTTTTGATGTGTTTGTAAGTGCATTTATTTATTAAATTAATTTTGTATCATTTTTTATCCCCCCATCAGCTGATTTCAACCCAGCAAGAGGAGGTAGAGAACGCCAGCATCCCTCCAACGTGGTAGAGTAAAACCCAGGGAGAAGAAGTAGTCTGCCTCCCTCTTCAGTGGCAGATTGGATCACAGGGAGCAGGGGTAGTCTGTCTCCCACCACAGCAGCAGGAGTATCCTAACTCCCCAGACAGTAGTCACCATCATTGGAAGCGGAAGAAGGACACTTCATATAGGTCCCCAGATTATTCTTATGTTTTAGTCACCCTGTGCCAATTATAGGTGCAGGGTGTGTATAATGTATTTGTTTATAGTTAAATGTTTTGTCTTCTCTCCTTTCCTGCTGCTGCTTTCAATTAACTATGTGGATTTGGCTGTGGAGCCTGTACAGCTCCATCTGATTGTTGTAAGGATCCTAAAACAGCTATATGCACTACTGTTACTGGAGGAATAACAGGAACAAACCGCAGAAGCCACACATAGAGATATGGACACAAGTCTTCAGGAAGTAAGAGGCCTTTATTTACGTACCGATCAGGTCTCAGAAGGACTAATGTTCCACAACAGATCTGAGCCCAGAACAGATGGAGTACATTCCTTATATAGCAATATAGCTCCTCCCATAAATAGCTACACCCACACATGCCCTTAACCAATCAATGAACAGAGTCTGGACTTGCTCATCCGTTCAACCCCCATGGCTCATCTGAAACAAAGGAAAAAGGAGTGTGATTTCAGTTCCTACATTCCTGCACATGCTCAGAACATTGATGACAGTATCTTAGCTACATGTAACTAACTAACAGATACAACAAACACCTGTACTTGTATATGCCACATGGAGATTTCAGGCCTACTAAATTTTGAACCATGTTGAAATCCCATCACACTACCTGTATAGCAAGGCTTGTTCATTTGCATATTCAGGTAGTTTTGCATACTATGAATTCTGCAGGCAGGAGAGATCATTCTCGTTAGAGTTTTCCTCAATACTTTATAAATATGGTAATGTGTTAATATGAGTTCCTGTACATATCCCCATATTATTTGGATATTTGTACGGTATTGAGGTTGTCTCAATATTTGTACTGTATTGAGGTTATCACAAATTTGGATATTTGTACTGTATTGAGGTTGTCACCATTTTAATGTAATGTGCATATGGGCTAGTCCTGAGAAAAAAATAAAGCTGTGTGTGTTAGTTTCATCTGGAACTGATTGCCCTGGTTTGTTATTCAGGGATACCAGTTTTTGGCTGTTGGCTGGCTGCTTGGTCCCTGGATTTCAGGACAAGTTAAAAAGAGCTAGGCATGAGAGCCACAAGTGCCTTTGTAAAGGCAGGAGCTAGTCACAGTGCAAGCAGAGGTGTTGAACCCTGCCTTGGAAAGGAGCTGAAAAGGCAAAGGCAGAGGGTATGATACCTGCCTGGAAGGAGAGAGCTGCTGCCTGGTCCAGGGTGGAAGAAGTCCTGTGCAACCTCAGTCAAGCTTTGGCGACTGGGGCTGAAGTGTTCCAGGGTCCCTGGACTTGGCGGTGGTACTCAGTCAGAGTATGAGAGCCTTGTCAAAGAGACAGAGCGCGAATGAGATGTGGGGGAATAGGATAAAGGGAATAGGTGGTGGTGTGGGAGGACCGAAGCAGAGCAGAAATCTTCTGGAGTAGCATGTGCGCGTGAGCATAGATCAGAGATGGGAGTGGGCCAAACTCCCCTTTATAGTTATACCTACAAATGAGGTGGATCAGATAATATCATAGTGATACATGACCCCCCCTGCCCCACAAGGACAACCCTGAGAGGTTGGAACAGGCTATTTGATAGCACGCTGGAACCTCGCGGATTAACCGCAAACCCCATACACTCTCAAACACACTGTGGACTAACCCACTACAAGACTAACGACACAACACAACACACAAGAATGCATATTACTTTGTTGGAGCTATAAATACGAAAACAGCCTATCAGTAAGATGCTGAAACCACTTCAATGCTGTTATACACATAACTGACCCGCTAACTTGTTGTAACCTGTTAAATTGTAACGGATATACATGTTGTGATTTTATAACGTAAAAATAAAGAATGTCAAAAAAAGAGATGGGAGTGGGTTGTCTGAACTATTGGTAGAGGTTAGAGATTTCTTCTCTGATCACAGAAATCTTCTCAGTGAAATTAATTGCAAAGTTTGTAGCGGTCAAGTTAGTAGATGGAGGAAGAAGAGAGTTAAAAGTGTGAAAGAGAAGTTTCGGTGGTTATAGGCAGGGCCGGACTGGCCCACCGGGATACCAGGAAATTTCCCGGTGGGCCGTCGGCACCTGGGGCCGGCCCTTTAAATACTGCAGCCGCCTGAGCGCTCTGTGAAGAGCGGTCAGGCGGCTGCAGCTTCTCCCCTGTAGCGTGGCCGAGCTGCACTCCGGTCCGCGGTGGCCGGCCGGCCGGAGTGATAGGAAGGTGCACACTGAGTGTGCACTTCCTGTCAGTCCGGTGACAGGAAACAAACTCCTGTTCCGCGCGGAGTTTCTGTTTCCTGTAACCGGCCGGACTGACAGGAAATGCACACTCAG